TTTCTCTCTCTCTCTCTCTCTCTCTCTCTCTTTTTCTCTTTTTCTCTCTCTCTCTCTCTTTCTCTCTTTCTCTCTCTCTCTCTCTCTGTCTCTCTCGTTGATTTTTGCTGTTCGTTGTTGCAACACACACTGTTTTTAGCGGCATGTGAGTTTGGTCTCGCGTGCGATGCGATGCTCATTCGATTGCAGGTTGGAGTGAAGCCAGGGTTGCAGCGTTTAATCTTCTCTGCTCGGGCCAATCGTAACGTGTGTGGTCGCAAAGGCGTTGTTCACAGCTTGAGTGGTTGGTTGGTTGGTTGGTTGGTTGGTTGGTTGGTTGGTTGGTTGGTTGGTTGGTTGGTTGATTGGTTGGTTGGTTTCTGCGTAGCAAGTTTTCACTGCTTGGGTTGTGGTGACTGTGCAGCCAGTGGACACTGCTTGGATAGTGGTTACTGCGTAGCGAGTCGTTACTGCTTAGGGTAGTGGTCATTCCTTAGGGTAGTGGTCACTGTTTAGGGCAGTGGTCAGTGCTTAGGCCGGTGATCACTGCTGAGGGAATGGTCACTGCTTTGGCTGGTGGTCACTGCTTAGGCAATGGTCACTGCTTAGGCTGGTGGTCACTACGTAAGACGATGGTCACTACGTAAGGCGATGGTCACTGCTAAGGGTAGGTGAGTCATTGTGCAAACACCGTTTCTTCTAGTGTAGACTGCCGCGCGGTGATTAGCAACAAACCGTAAGCTTCCCGTCACTAACCCCACCGCTAGCTGGCGATGGCGACCCAGGCGACAGTCTATGACGGCGAGAATGACGTCATCACGAACGACCTCGTCAACGAAGTGCTAACGGCCGTCGACGGAAAAACCGCCGATTCGCACGTAGGCGGCGCCACCGACGCGATGGACGTCTCCCCGCTGGGGGAGCCACCGAGCCAGGGTTCGGACAGCGGCGTGTTGTCGATGGAAGAGGCTGGAGGGATGATGGCGGAGGAGGATGGAGGTGGCGGCGACACGCTGATACAAGTGACGACCGATGTGACGGACGACGCGGTGACGACGACGGTGACGACGACGACGCGGGGCGGCGACGACATTGCCGTGGATACGAGCGAGGTCGACGGACAGGTCGTCACGGTGATTCGCTCACCGGACGGCGACGAGATCATCCTGACGCGCACCGACGTCGACGAGCCGGATGCGGATGCTGAGCATCACATCGCCATGACGACGGCAGAGGACGAGCCGATGCTGGCGGTGTGCGGATCGGCGCCATTAAACGAGGATCACGGACAGGTGGCGCCCTCGAGTGAGGATCATGGGCAGGTGGCGCCCTCGAACGAGGATCGTTGGCAGGTGGTGCCAGTAAGTGAAGATCATGTGCAGGTGGCGCCAGCAAGCGAGGCTCATGGACAGGTGGCGCCAGCAAGCGAGGATCAAGGGCAGGTGGCGCTGGTGAGCGAGCCTCAGGTGAACGGTCACGCTGCACTGCCGCCACGACCGCCGAAGCCCCCGCGCTTCCAAGAGACAAGCTTCGAGGTTGTATTCCATAAACCCGTGAAGGAGATATTTGCATGCACTCACGCGCGCAAAAACACACACACACACACGCGCGCACGCATGCACGATCACGTATGCACACACACTAATGTGCATGGGTGGGCTAACACTGGGTGCAGATGCATGAAAGGCAAACACACCGGGTATCGAGGCAGCTAACTACTTACTGTTACCACTGTTATACTAACCATGCTTTCATTAGTCTAATTAACCCAACATGAGCCAGCCTCCATCATTTTCATCCTGAGCAAGAAGCATTCTTATTGATATTGATATTGATATACATTTTATGCTGGGTTGTTGTGGGCTGCAGTGGCACGTTTGCTGTCGCGTTGCTGGTTTGCTCCTTAGCAGAGAGGAGGGAGCCTGAGTAGTGAGGGTATATTTACTATGTAGTCTGTCTCTCTCTCTACCTGTTTCCCCTATTCACCCTAACCCTAATGTAGTCTGTCTCTCTCTCTACCTGTTTCCCCTATTCACCCTAACCCTAACCCTAACCCTAACCCTAACCCTTACCCTAACCCTAACCCTAACCCTAACCCTAACCCTTAGCAGAGAGGAGGGAGCCTGAGTAGTGGGGGTATATTTACTATGTAGTCTGTCTCTCTCTAGGCTGAATCGCCTGCTCTCGTTTTCTCGCATTCTCTTCTGTCCTTATCTCTTCTCTCTCTCTCTCTCTCCTCTCTCTCTCTCTCTCTACTCTCTCTCTTCTCTCTCTCTCTCTCTCTCTCTCTCTCTTTTTCTCTCTCTCTCTCTCTCTCTCTCTCACGCGCGCGCGCTCTCGTTCTCGCTCTCTCGCTCCTTGTTTTTCTCCCTTTTTCTATTTCTCTCTCTCTGTCTTCGTTCACCCCTTTCTCTCTCTCTCGCTCTTTCTGTCGCTCTCTCCCCAGTTTTAGACTACTGTCTGGGTTTGCGCGTTGTTAGGGGAATGGTGTAATCATACACGTGTTTGTCTTAGTTACGCTCGTGGTTTGCCACTAATTCAAATCGACTAGGACCGGTCGGAGAGAAAACCTGTTTTCACTCATTCTTTCCCCCTATTTCGCTATATGCCATGCTCCTCACTCCTTCTCGGGACAGGTAGCTAAGGTGTACTGTCTACCCATGCCATCCGCTGATACTTGGCTAATTAGTTTGTTAATCTTGTTTAAGTGTGTTAAATTAATATCAAATGTATAGAGGACAGCACATTACAATTTTTGGTAGCCGGTGGGTAGCAACCATATTGCAGTACCAGGCATAACCAGGTAGCAGCATAATAGAACTTCTATTCTAGTTCTATGGTAGCAACCAGTATTGCTACACTTCTGACACTGATTTTATTTAAGCTTTTTTCACCATAACTGCTACGTACAAGTAATACTTGCTGTAACTGCCCACTATATTACTTGTATCTTGTTATCGTATCTGGTATTTCCTAGTTATTATGAGATGATGGCCATGGCTACTTAATTGATTATTCGGTCATTGTTTAATTGATCATGACCGATATGACTGGAGTAATTCACTAAGTAGCTCAAGTACTACTACTTAAAGGTCATGCAATCGTGAAAAATGGCAAGGCACGCACGGTTATCTTACGCTCTCTCAATTAGTAATCGAATTATTTTGATTCATGTTTAATCGTCATATTAATCGTCGCTATTTCGCGTTGACGTTGCAGATCAGTGAGGAGGCGCAGGTGAAGAAAGCCCCGATCGCGCGCATAGAGGAGCTCGAGGAGTATCTAGAGGAGCTCGACAATTTGGAGGAGATGGAGAAAAACTCATCACTTAAACGCAAGAAGAAAAAAGAGAAAAAGCCGGAGAAGGTCGACAAGAGGACGCGGGTGTGACCGGTGTCCGGCGCTCCCTCCCGCGTGCGCGCGCGTGAGAGAGAGGGAGAGGGGGAGAGAAACTCGCGTGTGGCGCGCGCGCGACAGTAAACATATGCATCGTAGTATTTCTAGCGCGTAACGTTGCACTGACCAGGGTGCGGCCGATATCATTGTAGAGTGTGCGAGGAGATGTTAGCGTGGCACGAATGCCCCGGAGTTGGTGGTGGGGCATTTGTCGCAAAGGGGAGATCAGTTTGGAATCTGCGAAAATTGAGAGACCCGCTGAATTCGGATGCGTGGAAAGTTCAGTGCCTGTGTTTGTGTGAGGGGGAGGGGCATAGCATACGGTATAGAAATAGAAGGGCGCTTTTCGAGTGTGCTGGCATAGCCAGATTTGACGTGTACACGTTTCGAGACTGTTGCCATGGAAGCGAATTTGTTGGAATTGGCCACTTCCATGGAGATCTATGCAGAATGCACGGCAGAGGTCTCCATCAAAACCGTCGCCATGGAGATAGCCAGCCGTCCTGGTGTCATTGTTGCCAAAGGGACAACAGCAGCAGCACTGTTTTTAGCTATTGTCATGGTAACGTTTCTACACGCAGCATCGCGACGGTGGCGCTGCGCATGGAAAGAAGCGTTGCCATGGTTTCACCAGGTTCTATGGCTACCACTACACCTTAAATGTCTCTTCATCGCATTTACAGAAAAGTCATACACCCATGTGTCACATTACCCCCTTCTCCTCCTCCTCCTCCTCCTCCTGCTCCTTCTCCTCCTCCTCCTCCTCCCCCATTGAAACCATGTATTAGTGTCTTGCCGCTAGATGAAACTGCGAGGATGTTGTGTCTAGAATTTATTCACTTGGTGGGCGGGCACACACGGCATAATGCCGCTCCGTTTTCAACGAGAGTTTCAAGCTTGATTTAGAAAGCACATTTTGTCCATTTATGGAGATTTTTTCTTAAGAAGCAAAAAAAATGATTCTATTTTATATAAGTTAGGAAGGGCTCTCCTCCCATTGGCGTTTTGTCGTGGATGTCACACAAAGCTTATATATATTTTCACACGAGTTCGGTTCAGTGGACGTAAGTTAAGGCTAGTGTAGCATTTAGGTACTTCTTTCACGATTAGTTGGTATACGAGGTGTCAACGAAAGGCCGCCACTGTGGTGGCTGGCCGGCAGAGAGAAACATCAACAAGTAAAGAGATAGGAGATAGCCATATGGTCAAAAGCCATGGTAGCCTTGTTACATACACACAAAGAGAGAGTGAGCGAGAGATATGGAGACGTTACGATTTTTTATGTCGCAGATGTGTATATAATTTTGTCATTTCTTGTTTCCGTCAGTGATTTTGGTATTGGGTGACAAACGGCTTGCTAACGCGTGCTTCGTCGTACATGAAAGCTATTTTCACTTTTATTGTCCACCAGGTGTCACTATTATACAGCGTTGATATTTATGTGAAATTTAATGTAGGGCGTAACCCCCACCCCCCTTCTATACTAGCTTTCTGTCATTTATTGTTCGAGCAATGTGCTACGATTTGTGTGTACGATCACTGTTTGAAGAAAATCATAAGTGTCTTGGTCCGGGAATCTAGAGCGAAAGCTGCCGAAAATGCAAAGATGCGTCGTAATCGCGGGCGCCATTTTTGATCTATTCGGCGGCGCGATCCCGCGGATTGATTGAATTTTTGTCGTCGGTTGTAATGTAGAAATTCTTTCTCTCTTCCTCGGCGTCTTGCTCCCTCCTCCCTCCTCTCTCCTCCCTCCTCTTTTTCCTCCCCCGGGTCCCACGCGCTGAAAGCGTCATGGCGGTTCCAGTAGCGTTAGCGTTTTTTGTATGCTTATGAAATACTACTATTCAATCGATATGTTCTATTATTATTTAGTTTCTCTGACTGCGCACCCTCGTGGGGCTCGTTGTGCGAATAGCGACACGTCAGCGCCCCCTGGCGGCTGCAGCCCCTCGGTGGTCGGCGGTCGACTGTGTTTTTGTTTGTTCCGTCTCGTTTGCCCGTAGAAAGATAGGTTCGAAGATTTGCATATATTTTGCTAATATATCCCCCGGAAAGATTTTTTCGTGTTTAGAGACGTAGATCCGGCGAGGTCGACTAGCGCGGAAGAGACGTCGGCCAACGTCGGCAGTATACGACAATGCTGCTGCTGGCCACGTCTCCCCAGTGCACCACGAGAGGGCGCCACTAGGCGTGCCCCTCTGCTTTGTCGATGCAACACAGGCGGGGGATTCCCTCTGGGCACCTCGTCTCCCTCGTGTGCCTCTCGTTTTTCGTAGAGAGAGAGAGAGAGAGAGAGAGAGAGAGAGAGATGCACCGAGGGTGTTTCCAGCACGCATGCCCTATAGGTTGTGTAGATACCTTTTAGCGAACTGAGTAAAAAAAACACTAAAATATTATTTCTGCATGTATTCATGATCCAATTTGTGCTTTGTTTGTGGAGAAACTTGAGCAAAATAAACATTTGAAAAATTTGAAAAAGTACTGTTAGCCTAAGTATTCGGCTTTCATTTGTTTTCTTAGCCCACACATACGTATACAACCACATGTATACATTCTAATCGCGTGTATGATAGGGTGTATTTTGCAGGCAAGCAAAGTCAATGTAGACTGCTTTATAAAGCAGGTGCCACAATTTACATTAACGTAGTATGCGCGTTCAACAGTAGCGTTGTGACAGTTGTCATATAAACTGGTTGCCCGAGCCCTCGCACACGCACTAAGTTACAAATAGTGTATTTTATCGTCATTATAATTATTTGTAATCGTGTTATACATTATGTGTATTACCTGTTCTTGACAACAGATGGCGGGACTAGTCAAGATAGAATATAGGCAAGTACTAGGAACAAATTGAGAATTCAAGTCGTTTGCGTCATATAGCAAATTCGAAACACAATATAATGATAAAAAAAATCAATCTTTATTCAATCTGATATCATATGTTTATGCTTATTATATCGGAACTATCATTAAAAATCTCACCGCATCTTAAAAGAATGTCGAATGTAAATCAACAGCAAAACGCTTTAAACCGATGAATATGAAACCCAAGACATAATAATGTCGATGACGACGACAATAACAACGTATGATACTTTATAACAGTTATTCCTAACGATAATTTCTATACACTGCTACTACTGCACAGTGCCGACTTTCTCTTTACATGGTTACGCCAGTACAGTACATATCGTATTTACTGTCGTTACGTCAAACTGCTGTCGCTGTAAAGGAATTTGACAAGTTGCGTACACGGCAGCTGTCCGAAATTTTGAAAGGTCTGTGTTAGAATGAAGATTCGAGATGGGCGCAACTCAAACTGGCACTTGAACGTTTATCTGTTATAGCTACCTTACGCGGAGCGAGCGACGTCGCGGTGTGGAAGTCTACAATATGCCGCCAAACCTCGCTGGTGCACGACGTGATTTCTACATAGCCCCCTACGCGTGTATTACAGCTAGGATATCTGTACGAAGGGTTATTTATTACATAGCGAGGTTTGGGTGATACGTTCGATAAGCCTTCACCTGCTACAGCTACGCACTACACTGTCGCAGTCACGCTATTTTGTCGAGCTATAGTCACGGGCTATAGTCTATAGGCTATAGGCATAGGCTATAGGCATAGGCATAGGCTATAGGCATAGGCTATAGTCACGAGCTATATGCACGTGCCACGTCTGTGAGTCGCCATGTTGTGTTACTGAGGACATGGTAGAGGACGTGTGAGTCACCGCCCAGCCCCGCTACGATGTGCGCGTGCGACAATCTATGTCGTCGACTTTCCCAACTTGGCCGCGTTGCTCTTGAAGTTGACATTCATGATGCCGAACAACTTTCGCCAGCTCGCGTCGATTTCGGGCGTCATCTTCGCTCCGAGTTTGTTCTTGAGAATTTCGAGGAAGGCAGTCTCCATGTCCTGCGAAATTTGGAGAAGGTATGTGTCTCGGTTAGTTATAGAGACGGGTTACAGGTGCAGGATGGGGATCGAATAACGCGAGTAGAGTGTGTACGACTCAGGGATCCAGGGGGAGCGAGGCGGGGAATGAGGCATCCGGGCTACGCGGACTCTCCATCGTGAATCAATTACGATCAATTACAATCAAAAACGAATGAGAAATCCCAGGCAGGCAAGTGGGGCGATCTGTTACTGTATTTACTTACTGAAATTTATGAATATTTATGCATTTATTAATTTATTAGGCATTTATGAATATTTTAGACCTCGGTTTTTACTCATTCCCTTCACAAATTTCGTCGTGCTCGCTAGAGGGCAGAGGCGAGACTGTCTGAAACATTAAAACGCGCCGGTGGCACCGCCGGGGGAGGGGGGGGGCTCTGGCGGTTCTTTGCCCGCAGTTATCCCATTGCTGGACCCACCAGTCTATGTTTACACGTAATAATCGATGATTAATATTACCATATTCCCATTATATATATAC